ATGTGGTCTGGGGGAGGAAGCAGAGGGAAGGAACTTGCTGAGAACTGTAAGGGATAGAGGGAGGTGGAGAGTGATGATCGCTTACGCCCATAAAAACAAAAGGAAACTCATCTGTTTTGTTTTGTTTTTTTGTCGTTTTTTTTGTAGGATGCTATTAGGATTTTTTTTTGTTTTTTTCTCCGCATTTCAAAACAATGTCTTTGGCATCATTAATTCGATTTCACACTCTTCGGCGATATTGGGTTCTTAGACAATGTACTTGTTTAATATTTTAGTTCCATAGTCAATTGTTTCTTAGTCTCTCCCCAATTTGTTTCTGTTTAATTTTTCCAATATCAATCCTTTTATATCAGTCTTTTCATTCCATGGAAGGATCTTTATCCCCTCAAGATATTCTTGGAATTTTATCATCTGGTTCGGTTAAGGATGATAAGACACAATTATTTGTTTCTGTAATGTCAAGATTTAGCGACATTAATTTGAATATTATATTTCATTATCAACGAATTTGAATTTTATTTTGTATTATAAACCTAGCTCAATTAGGTCTCATTTAAATACACATGGATACCTACCAAAATCTATCCGGAACATACTCGTTGATAATACAATATAATAGTCTCATCCACATGTGAAATAAGGATAAAAATAATTGAATTATTAATAAAAAACACCCAATATAATTAGTTATGAACACTGCCAAAATATGCTGGCAGTGTTCGAAAAATAAAACATTCCTATAACTCTAGACACATACTCAAAGAAATACATTTATTCAGTTGAAAGTGAAATAAAATTCATCCTTGATAATAGCTAAAAGTATAGCTGAAAGCGCTTGGAAAACATTCGGACAACTTTCATATAATTTATGTCCGGAAAAGAAAAGCATTATACGAACACATGAGAAATTATATAAAAAAACTCAACCACTACATATTGTAGCTTTCACCGATACTTTTATATATATATATATATATATATATATATATATATATATATATATATATATATATATATATGGTATCAAATGACAATTGGAAAAAAAAATCTTACATTGTGCCGACGCGTTTCGTCTTCCGACTTTTCAAGGCCAAAATGAAATCGAAATGTTTTTGTTGTTATAGTTACATTAAAATTCAAAATTAAAAAGATAGACGCTTGTGTCTAAGCCTTTTTTCTGGTTAATGTAAATTACCTTTATAGTAGGGATTATTATTATTATTTTTTTTTTCCATGTCGACAATATAGTTAAATTCCCAGATGTCGGCAAAATGTAAGATTTTTTTCCAATTGTCATTTGATACCAATCTGTCTTGTCCACAGAATTCATTTAGGAATTTAACTATATATATATATATATATATATATATATATATATATATATATATATATATATATATATATATATTGAAGGACCGAATACAGAGACATACGTGCCACAAGGTCCCCAAACGACCCTCCGCACGTTTTGAATTCAGAGTTTTCCTTCTCCAAGGCCAGTTGCCATACAAGGCTATAGAACCCAGTCTGTTCTGATATTTACCCATAGTTAGAGGGAGAAAAGTACCAATTACAATTTAACCTGAAAAAAAAAATTATTAAAAGTATAAAAAATATTAGAACTGTGGATTAAAACTGACAAATCGCGAAATATTCATAAAATTAATCCCTCTATCACAAATGTCTCCTCAATAAAATCACTAATACTTGACAATAAAATAATACTATTTCTTTAATTAACAAAGATGCTGCTAATTTTGCCAATAAATTTTATATTGCAGAGAGAACGGGGAAAATTCATATGAAAACTGCATATTTACTATTTAAAGAAGAAAAAACCCAATTTCGATAATAATCTGCAATCACCATGAATTCAACCTTCCAACACTGAACTAGACGTAATTTTAAAAAAATATAATTAAATGAATAATCCACACTATATCAGAAATCTCTTATAATAATATTTGGAAAGATTCTTTGGATACTAAAAGTGGTACAATGGTATTAAGAATAAAAATAAGGCCACTGTTATCCAGTTTGGCATAATAGACTTCTACCCGTCCATTTCCAAATATCTATTGTTAAAACGTTTAAATTTTGCTAAAAACTATATAGACATTACGGATGATGAATTCGGAGTTATCCAAGCTTCCAGAAAAACATTATTGATAAATAATAATTCCGCTTAGATTAAAAGTCATAATAAATTTGACGTTCCTATGGGCATCTATGACTCTGCTGAAGTAGCTAATGTTGTGTGCATTTATATATTAGACATGGTGTAATATTTTATCCCAGATGGTAATGGTTCACTGTGCTATAGAATACAGAAGATGATTATAAGTGTTTTCAACTTCCTTGGTTTGAAAATTGAAATCGTATATTACCTTAAAATAGTTATTTTTTAAATGACACTTTCAACCTTTCTAATACATTTAAACAATTTCACAAGGACAGACTCCTATTTTTATTAATGTCAACTCCATTCCCCCAGATTCAATAATTAGACAAATTCGTAATACTGTAAACATTAGAATTAATACATTATCTTCTAACAAAAAATATTCAACAAGAATAAAATTATTTATAACGACTTCAAGCAAAAATTAAGGAATTTTTAAAAGACAATAAAACTAATGGAACCAAACACGAAAAAGAAAAATAATGAGGTTTAACCCACCTTTCTGAAAACTGCCTAATATAAATATTGGCAGATTCTAAATTCAAAAGATAAACATTTTAATCACAGCAACAAACTACAAAATATTTTCAATAGAAAAACACTAAAAATACTCTTTCCTGCACAAACAATATATATAATATTATTGACTCACATAACAATAAAATATTAAAATCATTTTATGACAGCAGCATACCAGATAACAAACCCACTTGTAGAGGGTTGAATTGCAGAACCAGAACCAACTACCCAGTTGGAGATAACTGTAATTCATAGTATCTTGAATACCAATCTACCATCTTTACAAAAATAATATTAATGATAAAAAAGTATAAATCGGTAACTCTGCTGGAAGCTGGGAACAAAGATTCTACAATGACAGATATTCCTTCTCTAATTCTTCCTTAATTCAACAAACTGGTCTCTCTAAGCATCTTTGGAGACTTAAAAAATAGACGCTTCACACCACAGATTAAGTAGTATATCATCTGTCAGTCTCAAACTTCCAACGTCCGGGATAAATGCAATCTATGCATACAGGAAAAATTATAATATTTAAATGCAAAAGTTGTGCCCAACTGTTTAACCAAAGGAATGAAATCATTTTCAAGTGTCGGCATAAAAACAGATTTTAATTACTTTAAAGCGTTACTTTGCGGGTAAAGCACTTGTGACTTTAGTTCTTATTGTATATAGGTACAAGCATATATGTGTATATGTGCTGGAATGTATGTATGTAAGAATGTGTATAAGTGGTTGTATGTGATATCACTCATATATAATCGTCTGTACATGTATTTGATTATTTTTGTGATTATCATGCTTATACCTACATAATATATATTATTTGTTATCCCTATATATTTTTAATATTATATATTTTGTTTTATTATTATTTGTAATTATTTATTTATTATTTTCTACTTATTTATTAATTTTATGTATATATTTTTGTTTGATTATTACTATTATCTATTATATTGATAATTTTTTATTATTATATTATTGTGATATACAGTGTAACCCGGATATAAGAGACCCGGATATAAGAGACACCCGGATATAAGAGAAACCCGGATATAAGAGAGATTTTCTCTGGTCCCAAATTAGAGCCCGTGTTACCTAAACAAAATAGACCAAACCCGGATATAAGAGAAACCCGGATATAAGAGAAACCCGGATATAAGAGAAACCCGGATATAAGAGACTCCTTCTCCGGTCCCGTCAACTCTCTTGTATCCGGTTTACATTGTATAGCTATATTTTATATTTTTCTTCATTTTTCTTATTATTAGTAGTAGCATTATGTAATGATGATTATGTTATACAATGATAATATATATTGATTCAATTTAGTAAAATGTAGTCGATCTGATGAGATGAATATACCTGTATCCATCGAATTAAATTTATTAAAAACAATGGATTTTTAAGTTTTTTTTTATGTATATATACAGGGTGTCCATAAAGTTCGTCTGCACTTAAAAATTTATAACTTTATTTGTATTTGCGATAGAAATCATCTGTAAAAAAATGTTATAAAGTTTAATGTACCTAGTTTTATGTATAGTTATTGAATAATTCTTTGCCACAAAATTTGCCATAATTTTTAGATGAGTAAAAATTCTTTTTTTTCCGGAATCAATTTGATCCATGGCTTCAACTGAGGAAAAAAGTAAACTGTGTCCTTTGGCTGGCTGAACTGAAATCTACTTTTGCTATACAAAGAAAGTTTCAAATTGAATACAATAAAGAACCACCTCATAGGAACACTATTGCTAACTGGATAAAAAAAAAAAAACAGTTGGCAAATGTTTTCCGTGAACTGCAAAATCGCATTACCTTTTGTATTGCTAATGATTGAGGACATGTGGAAACTTAAATAAAATTTCAATAAAACCTTAAAAAATATAGATTTACTTCTTTAATCTTTTTTTACAAATTATTTCTATCGCAAATACAAATAAAGTTATAAATTTTCTAAAGTGCACACGAACTTTATGGACACCTTGTGTATACATATATATATATATATATATATATATATATATATATATATATGAATTTGCGTGTGTATGTCTTATCTTCTCTTGGAAAATAGTTAACTAGGATTGTTATACTATTTACAAAGGAATACTTTAGAATACGTCTGTGTTTGTGCGTGAATTCATGACATGCGCACTCGTGACCAAAATCGATTAAGAAGATAAAAAATAAGCGGACCACGTAAATTCTCGAAATATTGTCTAGAGGAACACTGGGTCGTGGCTTTTAGGATTAGTCGAACCATTAACGTCTGTTTGATGGTTCAAAAGACTGACTAGACATCGCGATTGGAATATGTCGAATTGGAAAAGAGAAAGAAAAGAAAATACATGTCAATTAACGGAACAAGGAAGAATCGGTAAAATGGACAGAGTATAAAGACAGGAATCAAGATAAAGATAAAAAGAGAGAGAAAAGGGGGAAGGAGATCTATCAGTGGAAGAAACGCTCGAAGAGAGAAAGAGAAATAAAGAAAACGAATATTAGAGGCTTTCAGAAGAAAGAAAGAAGGTGAAGAAAGAAGGCAAGAAAATAAAGGAAGAATGAAGACAAGAAAGAAGAGAATAAAGAAGGAAAGAAAGAAGGAGAGAAAGAAGGCAAGAAAGAAAGGAAGAAAGAAGGCAAGAAAGAAGGAAAGAAAGAAATCAAGAAAGAAGGAAAGAAAAAAGGAAAAAAGAAGGAAAAAGCAAGAGAGAAGGAAAGAAGAAGGTGAGAAAGAAGGCAAGAAAGAAGGAGAGAAAGGGAATAAAGAAGGAAAGAAAGGAAGAGAGAAAAAGGGCAAGAAAGAAGGAAGAATCAAAGCAAGAAAGAAGGCAAGAGAGAAGGAAAAAAAGGAAAGAAAGAAGAAAAGAAAGGAGGAAAAAAAAAGAAAGAGAGAAAAAAGGCAAGAGATAAGGAAAGAAATAAGGAAAGAAAGAAGGCAAGAAAGAATGAAAGAAAGAAGGAAAAAGGAAAGAAAAAGGCAAGAGAGAAGGAAAAAATAAGGAAAGAAAGAAGGAGAGAAAGGAGGAGAGAAAGGAGGAGAGAAAGGAAAGAAATAAGGAAAGAAAGGCAGAGAGAAAGAGGGCAAGAAAGAAAGAAGAATCAAGGCAAGAAAGAAAGAGAGAAAGGAAACAAAGAAGGAGAGAAAGAAGGCAAGAAAAAAAGGTAGAATGAAGGCAAGAAAGAAGGAAAGAAAGAAGGCAAAAAAGAAGAAAAGAAAGAAGAAAAAAAGAAAGAGAGAAAAAGGCAAGAGAGAAGGAAAGAAAGAATGAAAGAAAGAATGAAAGAAAGAAGGCAAGAAAGAAAGTGAGAAAGAAGGAACCATGAATGCGAAATCCATGAGTTATATTTGATGATAGTGCATGCGAAAGACGCGTAGAAAAGTAAAGAAACAACGAAGAAATAACTGTAAGAAAAGCCAAAAGAAACTTATATTTAAAGAGAGAAAGAAAGAAAAATCAAAGGTTCTGAAAAGAAAGAACCAAATAGAGATGTTAAGAAAATACAGTGAAAAAGAAGAAGAAGAAAAAACGAAAATTCAGACAGAAATAAAGAAGGAAAATACAACGGATAGAAATAAATGAAAGAAAAAGATATTTGAGGATTTTGGGCGATTTCAGGAATTGGGCTAACCCGAGAAATTTTCAGCACGCCTTCGTAGCCATAATGTAATTGATATTTCCAGAAACTGATAGATATAATCAGCGTGAAGTAGATAAATATGACGAGATCTGGACGGACAGCCGGAGTGCAAGAATGTCCAGAGAATTATCGATCGATGTGCAAGCCTAGAAAGACAGACATGTGACAAGCATTAGGTTAGTCGATCAATCAAAAAAGTGGATAGATTGGCAGATAGCTGGAATCGAAAAAGGAGGAAAGAAGGAAATAGATTGGCAGATAGATAGATAGATAATGAATAGATAGATAAAATATCAATAGAAATCGAAAGAAATATTAATATCTAGCTGTCTACCTATTGAGATAGTTATTATATATATATATATATATATATATATATATAGATAGATAGATAGATAGATAGATAGATAGAATATCAATAGATTTACATCGAAAGAAACAAAGAAACATATTAATATCTAGCTGTCTACCTGTTGAGATAGATAGATAGATAGATAGATAGATAGATAGATAGATAGATAGATAGATTTACATCGAAAAACATTAATATCTAGCTGTCTACCTGTTCAGATAGATACATATATCAATATATTTACATCGAAAGAAACATATTAATATCTAGCTGTCAACCTATTAATACAGATAGATAGATAGATAGATAGATAGATATGAAGATGACAGATAGATAGATAGATGGATAGATAGATAGATGACAGATAGATAGATAGATAGATAGATAGATAGATAGATAGATAGATAGATAGATAGATAGATAGATAGATTTACATCGAAAGAAACAAAGAAACATTAATATCTGGCTGTCTACCTATTGATATAGATAGATATGAATAGACTTGTGATAGATAGATAGATAGATAGAAGGATAGATAGATAGATAGATAGATAGATATGGATAGACTGTGATAGATAGATAGATAGATAGATAGATAGATAGATAGATAGATAGATAGATATGGATAGACTGTGATAGATAGATAGACTGTGATAGATAGATAGATAGATAGATATGATAGATGTGATAGATATGATAGATGTGATAGATAGATAGATAGATAGATAGATAGATAGATAGATATGAATAGACTGTGATAGATAGATAGATAGATAGATAGATAGATAGATAGATAGATAGATAGATAGATAGATAAAATAGAGAAGAAAACAATGAAAGAAACAGCCGAAAAGTAAGATAGTTATCAATCCGAAGGATCTCGGTGTAAATGAATAACGAACTCTTCAAAATGGAGGAAAGGAACACATTCTTGTTCCGTTTTTATGTGCATCTTTCTTTCGTTTTTGCTAACCAGAATGATCTTTTTTTTTTCGAATTCGTCAAACTATTTTTTGATAACTATATCATTATATTGTTATTCTTCTTCATTGTAACTAGGCTTACGGTAAATTCATGCTGAAACACTTGTTCTCGTACGACTGACGAAGCCTGGTCAGTACCTAGAATGGTGACCGTTTGGCAATCCCACCTGCTATAACTTTGAACGTGCGAGTGATGTAATGGATAACGGCTCGAAACTGAAAAATCGGAGAGCCGAGTTCTAATTCCAGTTGGGTTTGTCATATTCACTTACGCGCAAATAACCTTGGGAAATGCATGAAACCATCTTTTCTTTCCCCCCAGCTATGGGTTAACTAGTAGTACGTTTATCAGTAAACCATTGTTATCTACACTAAACGTGTACAATCTAGAAATATTTTCTAGCGTTAAATAACATGGAAAATGGTGATAAATCGTAGAAATCAAACCCTTTTCTTCGTGTTTCTTACTCTCGCCTTTTGATTGCTCTTCTTCATACGTCTCTACAATAATTTAATTTTTATGGCGGTGAAGAATTCTTTCACGCTATAGACGCTTTCTGTTTTCGTTCATTTTTTTTTTATATCTTTTTTTAATTCGCCATTTTACACCTTTCACAATGACCTCATATCAATAATTTTGCTCTTTATTTAATCATTTCAATAATCCATTTTTCATTCTTGGCTAGGCCGAATTCTTCTGAGAATAGGTATTATGTACACTATTTATATTATTCGGACTATTGTCCTCATCTTATGTCGCCATATTTGTTACATTTATTTCGCTCAATAGGGTAGACTGTTCTAGTTCCACGTGCCATGTTATGGAATTAACAGGAGATGTTATCTCCTGTTAATTCCCCTCTCCAAGTTCTCCACTACCTTAACCGGGTATTGAACTCACACTATCACTATCCTGTCAGTGGATCTAACTAACGCCTTTATCCACTGTGCCATGTGTCATTGAAGACATTTGTGTATGAATTTCTGGGTATTATAAACCTAATGTCTTCAGCAACCAGAGAAAAGTAATGATAACAGCAAAAATCGCAATATGAGCACTGGGAAAAACGGTTGCTGAAAACATTACCCAGAAATACCCAGAGATTCATACACAAATGTTTTCAAGGACACAAGACACAGTGGATAAGGGCGTTGATTAGATCCAGTGACAGGATCCAAACAGTGTGAGTTCAATACCGGGTTAAGGCAGTGGAAAACTTGGAGAGGGGAATTAACAGTAGATAATTGACATCCATTAAATATGGCACGTGGAACTAAAAAAGTCTACCCCATTGAGCGAAATAAACGGTTCAGTTCGACATTCCAACCACCTGAAGAAGGTCGGAGAGTACAATGGTCGAAACGTTGTAATAAATATAGCGACAATGATGAGGACAATAGCCCGAATAATGTAAATAGTGTTCTTTTGGTTGGTTTCTTTCGCTTACTGTTTGTTCTATATCTTCCCTGCCTTCAATGCTATTCTCATTCCCAGAGAAAATACCTTCATTCCTCTCACTTTCAAAATATTTTTGTCACTAATGTCTTTTTTCTTGTCATTATTTGATCACTTTTATTTCACCTGTTTCGTAATGATCACAATCCTGTCAACGATATTATCTTAGCACACTCTTGCTTTATTCTGAGATACTTGTTTTGATGTGTCCCTTTCTAATGAGATCGAATGTCAATGTTTTTAATTTTTGCACCCATCTAAACTACTGTGTTTAATTATGACAATTAAAATAAAATACAGTATCAATTATAATAATAATAAAAAAAAGTGTAATTTATATTTTTAAAAGTCTCTTATTTATTATAAATTTTTACCTAAAACCCATTATGCTTCCGTTTCGAAAACGGGATGGTTGTCATTACTTGGTTAATTTGACTCTATCTGCTGCGTTAAAAGTTGAGATAAGATCTCAGCTTGGATAACAGAATATGACACGGGATATCAAAGAATATTTAATCCCTCACACCTGGATTTGAATGGGTTATACTTTTACAGCAAGAATGAGGATTACTACAGTGCAAACGATAGTTGATTGGTATCTAAGTGGATAAAATTATTAGGTTTTTTCATAAAGTCTTCAGGCTTTTTTTTCTCATAATTTATTAAAAATACTTATTATTTATTAATAGTTCTGTTGAATCATTCAACAATGTATTCGCCTTAATTGTTTATGACTTCCCACCAACGATCCACAATCTGTTCAATAAAGAAATGATAGAAATCATTAGGTTTTGACTCGAAAAATTCATCAAGCTATGTTTTAATCTCCACATCGTTGTTGAATGTAACACCCCTCAAATTGTGAGAAAGCAACCGAAAAAGGTAGTAGTTTGAAGGGGCTAAATCTGGAGAATATGATGACATATGAGAATATGCTAGAGTGTCTTGGTGTAGAGCGAGTAAAAGGGCGGTAATAAAAGAGCTCTGGGGTTTGTTCATTCAATCGTCTTTTGTTTCGTTTCTTGTACTTCAAATTTCATTCCTTGTTTTTGAAATACTACATTCATTAATAAATTTCTTCAAATTTTATCTTTTTTTGTCACGATTTTTCTTTGTTTAAATTATTTCATTTGAAAATTGCTTTTTCTTCCTTGATAATCGCGTTCCTTTCTTTTTCTTTTTATTCTAATTTATTATTCTTACGTTTTTCCTCCGTATTTCTTTCTTTCAAATTGTTTCTCTTTTTTTTTACATCTTTCTTCTTGTCTTTGAATTTTTTTTCTTTCTTTCTCTTTTCTTTTCTTTTCCTTCTTTTTCTTTTTCTCTTTTCTTTTTCCTCTCTTTCTTATCTTTTATTTTTTTACTTCTATTTTTAATTTCTTTTTATATATTTCTTATTTTCTTTTTTCTTTTAATTTGATCTTCCCTACATTTTATTTCATTTCTTTCTTTAATATTTTGTTGTTTCTTCTTCCGTTGATTTATTTTCTATTTATTTATTCATTTATTTACTTTACTTTTCCCTTATTTTTTTCTCTTTTCTTTCTCTTCATTTTCTTTTCTCCTGGTTCTTTTCTAGTTTTCGTCCTCTCCTTCTTTTCATTTCCTTCCTGGGTATGACGATAAGCTACATCCGCGCCTTGGGTAAGACGAAAAACTACGTCCAACAGCAACGCCTCTGATTTGGAGGTTTTGAGGAGCGTGGAACCACTACTTAATAGAGGTGTTTCCAGGATCACTAATACCCGCAGTGGTAGCACCTGTTAGGGTCCTAGCTATGGGCAAATATTTAACCCCCAAACTCTGATCAAAACACTACAAAAGTGTAAAAGCAGCTTTTAATACCAGAAATTATTTGTAAAAAAATTATTACCAGCAATAAATTTTTTAAAATATTATTTAATACCAGCATTAAACTTTTGAAAAAAATTATTACCAGCAATAAATTTTTGAAAAAAAATTATTTCCAGCAATACATTAATACCAGCATCGTATTTTTTTTTAAATATTACTAGCAATAAAGTAAAAAAAAAATTACCAGCTATACCTTTTTGAAGCAGAATTATTACCAGAAATCGATTTTTCAAGAAAAAAATATTACCAGAACTAGATATTTGAAGGAAAAAAATATTACCAAAATAGATTTTTGAAAAAAAATATTACCAGCAATAAAAATTTTTTCGGCATTAAATAACCCATTGAGGTTGATATACCGTAAAACAAAATAAACCAAACCAATCTAAACCAAAGAATACATATTCTATTCATACGAATCTACCCTTAAAATGTTGTCGGCATTAAATAACCCATTGAGGTTGATATACCGTAAAACAAAATAAACCAAACCAATCTAAACCAAAGAATACATATTCTATTCATACGAATCTACCCTTAAAATGTTGTCGGCATTAAATAACCCATTGAGGTTGATATACCGTAAAACAAAATAAACCAAACCAATCTAAACCAAAGAATACATATTCTATTCATACGAATCTACCCTTAAAATGTTGTCGGCAATAAATAACCCATTGAGGTTGATATACCGTAAAACAAAATAAACTAAGCCAATCTAAACCAAAGAATACATATTCTATTCATACGAATCTACCCTTAAAATGTTGTCGGCAATAAATAACCCATTGAGGTTGATATACCGTAAAACAAAATAAACCAAACCAATCTAAACCAAAGAATACATATTCTATTCATACAAATCTACCCTTAAAATGTTGTCGGCATTAAATAACCCATTGAGGTTGATATACCGTAAAACAAAATAAACCAAACCAATCCAATCTTTTCATTTGTTGTTTGCGTTCTTTTCTTCTTCGTTCCTTCATGCTTTCTTTCATTTCTTTTCTTCCTTTTATTTTTTTATTTTTCCTTGGATTTTTCGTTTTCTTTTTTGCTCTATTTATTTATCTATTATTATTCATTCCTTACTTACTTCCTATCATAACTTCTTTTTTTATTTCCATTTCGTTTTCTCATGTTCTTTTCTTTTCCATTTTTTATTTTCTTTTTCCTTTCATTATTTTATCGATTTCTCTTACTTTTTCTTTCTTTAATTATTTGCATCTTTTTTTTTCCCAATTTCTGTTGGCTTTACATTTCTTTTCCTTTTCTTTTTTTTTCACTTTTTACTTTCCATCCTTGCGTTCTTTTCTCTTTCATCTTTGCTTGTTTTTTTGTGTGTCTTTCTTTTTTCTTTCTTTCTTTCTATTTCTTTTTATTTTCCTTTGATCATCTCTCGATTTTCTCATTTTTTCCTTGTCTTTTTTGTTTTGCTTTCCTTTTTCGATTCATTTGTTTTTTTTTCTTTTTTCTTTCTTTCTTTCTATTTCGTTTTATTTTCCTTTGATCATCTCTCGATTTTCTCATTTTTTTCCTTGTCTTTTTTGTTTTGCTTTCCTTTTTCGATTCATTTTTTTTCTTTTTTTCTTTCTTTATCTAATTTTTCTTCTCCTTTCATTTTTCTTTCTCCAACGCGATAATTATCTCTAATATTCAGATTTTCTTCAATTTTCCGTAAATATTTCTATTTATTTTTTTTTCCAACTTTTGTCTATGTTTTCTTTTTAACCTTTGCTTCCTTCTGTTTACTAAATTGCATTTCCTTACAAAACAAAACCATTTTTGTCTTTCTCAAAGGGATGCGAATGAACTTCAATGAGTTCTATTCAAATATTTTCAACCAATCAAGCACTTCCTCTATCCCGCCTTTTCTCTCATTTTCGCTTCAGGATACATTTCTTTCAATTCTTCGCCTTTTGTGTCATTTCTTTCCAATCTCCATTCACTTTTTTTAATTTCCTATTAACCTTTATACCTTTTGCACCTTCGAGCATAAAGAGAACTTCGCGTGTCGGACATTTTTCTTTCTTTCTTTTTTTACCATCTATTAAAAAAAATGCAACTCTTGCTCCAAGTCTCATTTGAAAGGTCGTTAATCTCGGCGTGAATCGACTACGTTTATTATCCCTGATCATCTATTTTAGACTCGAAAGTAGACTACTTCCTTAGCGACCATTTCTTG